GGTATAATTATATGAAATAGATTGCTTGGCGGCCAAGTTTGCCTTTCAAGGAAGATTTAAAATATAACACAGTATACATAATTACTCATGCTGTGGAGGCCATGGCACTTAAAATATGGCACAGTTATATTTGAAGGGTTTTAAGGAATTCCACACCCAGAGTTTTGAGTATGTCACCAATTCTACCATCCTGATGTTTTGCATTGTTGTCATAAAATTGTGCAAGATGCCAATGAGCCTTACAGCTCTATCATATATCAGACTTTGTATATGCAGACTTTACTCATATAGGATAATGTGAAAGTAAAAATGTGTTTTCTTTGAAACAGGATAAAAAAATACAAAGAACTTGAAATTCTCTTAAAAGTTGTAAACGTAGGCTTGACAATCACTGGGCTTGTTCAATTTGAAGGCAGAGCATAGGACTGAATGACCTCACTCATCGTTCTGTAGCTCTGGGAAACACAAAGTCCAGCAACTGAAACTCCCAGTAAAAAGTATATCCTCCCGGCCGGGCGCTGTGGCTCACGCCTGTAATCCTAGCTCTTGGGAGGCCGAGGGGGGCGGATTGCTCAAGGTCAGGAGTTCAAAACCAGCCTGAGCAAGAGCGAGACCCCGTCTCTACTATAAATAGAAAGAAATTAATTGGCCAACTGATATATATAAAAAATTAGCCGGGCATGGTGGCGCATGCCTGTAGTCCCAGCTACCCGGGAGGCTGAGGCAGAAGGATCACTCGAGCCCAGGAGTTTGAGGTTGCTGTGAGCTAGGCTGACGCCACGGCACTCACTCTAGCCTGGGCAACAAAGTGAGACTCTGTCTCAAAAAAAAAAAAAAAAAAAAAAAAAAGTATATCCTCCCATAAATGACGATGGGCCAGACTGAAAATACCCTGGGTTTTCCTATAAGATGAAAATGTAAACCTTTAACAGTTCCGGATACTCTGTGGCCTGTGACATCTGCTTTCCCTTCTCTAAGGCTCACCTTAGTCATCCTGTTAATCAAACTCCTTTTCCAGGCCACCTCTAGACACCCTAACCTGCTGCCAGTAGGCAACACTTGGTTCAAGGATGCGCTTCTGTGGTATATTAGTAGGGGGCAATAGAGTGGGACCATGAGGTCAGTATGATCAGCTATGACATAGCAGACATTCTGTGGCTTGGCCTTTCTGGTACAATATTTGGGGAAAAATTTTCACAGTAGTGAGCAACGTATTATCAAGTACCCAGCTGGAGTTAATATGAACCCTAGTAAGCCAATTCAGCATGCTTCTGTAACTACTTCAAAGACAAGTGGTCTAAAGTAGAACTGGGGAAATCAGACCACATGGCTTATTCTGGATTGGCTAACTGTATGGTACACAACAAAGTGTACAGTAACTTATAGTCCTGCAAAGATGGGACAAGAACAGAGTTAAATGTACCTGGTAGAGAGCTGATAGACTTGGTAACAAGGGAAGGTTAAGAAAAATTAAGGTATCAGTAAGGCAAAGCAGTTGGCTCACTACAAAGAAGGGAAAGGAGGAAATTGAAGTTAAAGAACTAGGAAAGGGGGCCAGTTGTGGTGGCTCACGCCTGTAATGCTAGCACTCTGGGAGGCCAAGGCAGGCGGATGGCTCGAGGTCAGGAGTTCAAAACCAGACTCAGCAAGAGCGAGACCCTGTCTCTACTAATAAGATAGAAAGACATTAACTGAACAACTAAAACTATATATATATAAAATTAGCTGGGCATAGTGGCACATGCCTGTAGTCCCAGGTACTTGGGAGGCTGAAGCAGAAAGATTGCTTGAGCCCATGTATTTGAGGTTGCTGTGAGCTAGGCTGACGCCATGGCACTCTAGCCCAGGCAACAGAGAAAAAAAAAAAAAAAGGAATTAGGAAAGGTCTAGAGCAGTGGTTCTCAAAGTATGGTTCCTGAAGAGCAGTATCAACATCAATTGGGAATTTGTTGGAAATGTAAATTCTCAGGATCTACCAAATCAGAATTCTGGGTATGGGCCCCAAGCAATCCATGGTTTAACAAGCCCCACAGGTGATTCTGATGTATGGTAAAGTTTGGGACAAACTAAGTAATCATTCCACCAACCAAAGGAAAAGGGAGCCAGGGGTATCTGCCTGGGGGTGGGTGTGGAAGGCCTGCTGCCTAGGAGGAGAAAGGCCCAAGTTAAAGTAAAGAGGTGAGGGTACATGGGAGTTTTTACCCATTCACAACAGGGGATCTTAGCTCACCACTAAAGAAAGGTAGGCTTGGGGATGTGTAGAAAATAGCTCAGCAGTGGACGTTTTCACAAAGCCAGCATGAATAACACAGCTCAAGAAAACAGTAGAGTAGGAGGTCAGATCAGTGAAACAGCCAAGAGAGAAACACTAAGTGAATGAAGGACATCTAGAGGATAGAGAAAACATACATATGCAAATAAGATCCGACCCAACTTTCAAATATAATGTATTGACACAAATTCTTTCACCTGGAGCAAGAACAAAGTGGTGGCACTGGGAGTGGGTTGTTGGTTTTCCAGAGGTTACAATCACAGCTATTTGGGTCCATTTAGAAGACAAAGAACATTTTTGATGGTAGAGGTAGGAACTGAGATGAACACATAACATGTGCAGTTATTGTTTAAGCAAGGAAAGTGAATTTCCATTCTAATAAAGGAAAGTTAGGACAACCCCCCCCAAAGCCTATGTGACATTCTTAAATATGCCCTATATTTTAATGATATTCCTTTGTTTAATATGGAGAAAGTAAAACTAGAAAGTGTTTTGTAATTTAGACAGAAAGTGTTCCACAAGATAATAGACTTTATTTCCATGGATTTCTGAACTCAGATGCTTTTTAAAAAAATCTCTTACTTTATAAAGCCCAAAACAATGAGTTTAAATATAAATTTTAAAAATATCTATAATCAAATTTACCCATACTATATAACATTTTCCATTATACTAACCAAATTTATATAATAATTACTCTTGAAAGATAATAAATAATAGATTGTAAGATTTAATCAACTATAAAATATAATAGATCGCAACCAATTTGTTAGGAGGAAAAATGTTACTTCTCTGAAGAGCTTGAAGCTTCATAACAATTTACAGAACTCTGTAAATTGAACAGAACTCTGTTCAATTTCCATAATAACTCTGTAAATCTTTTAAGATATAAGAAAATCTGCTGTGGAGAAAGCATAGCAGATTATATTCCGATTATATAATCTGCTTTATGAATCATCCATGGTTTCTCAGAGAATAAGGCACACACAGTCACTTGCATTATAAATCACAAATCTGTAAGAAAATCTGAAGACAGCAGATAGCATATATGCCACAAAGAAAAGGAGGTACCTTTGGGGTACTGACTTTAATATCAAAGTAACATGAAGCTGCAAATGTGAAATGTATAGCAACTAAATTTCTCTTCTCTAATAAAGGTCATCTTAACAGAAGATCAACCTGAAAGAACAAAGGAAAAGGCAAAGTTCCTAAAACTACTTTATTTTGAAAAAAATGTTTTGTCTCAATATCAGGCAGATTTTTAAAAATTATTTAATTAGGATAATATTTTAGAATAGTATATAAAAAGACTGATAGCAACGAAAACACAATGGCACATTTATTCAGGAATTTACTTTTGAAATGACATTACTGGTCATTACTTTTTAAAAAAATTTTTTTATTACATTTTATATTTATTATTTCTCTTTTTTTAAATTATAATTATTTTTTACTTTTTATTTTTTACAAGTTCCTTTTGTACCTGATGGTCATTACTTTTCTGTGAGTGAATTCAAATGCTATGTTTATGATCCAAGTATCAATATTTTGTTAATGTTATTTTTTAATAAATATTTTGTTAAATTAAGTTATGTTTTTCAAAACAAACACTAACATATGAGATTCTTGGTTAAGTATACTAAAAAAACCTATTTCAGCAAAATATTACTATAGCCAACATGTTTTAATAATTATTTCCTTGCTTTTTTCAAAGGCAGCTGAAAAAAATTATTTCCTAAATTTATTTCTGAAATAATAACCTAGACGTAATGTTAGTTGCTGTCTTTTCAGGATATCATTAAGATAATATTTGACACAGATTTTTCCAATAATCATAACTCATAAAACACTTTGTAAATTAAATTTCAGTCAAGATCAACATATATGAAATAAATACATGTTAGTGTTCACTATACATCTTACTCATGATATTTATTTTGGCTATCTCACTGTTTCAGTGTCTCAAGAAAATGTGGACCTAAATATAATACTAACTTTCTACAAATTAGTCACCCTGAAATTTGAACTGTTTTTCATAAGAAAATGTACTAAATTAAAGGAATACCTCCAGAAAATGAATTGGATGTTAATCTAAAAGAACTACTAGTAAAGCCAGAAAAACAGAAGCAGCAATGTAACCTAAACATTTGTACCCCTGTAATATGCTGAAATAAAAAATAAAAATCAATAAACAGAAGCAATAAAAATATGTCATAGAATAAATGAAACTCTAATATTATACTAGAGTGTTACAGAAGAGAGAATTATAACAAACATAATTTTTATTTTTTTATTTTTATTTATTTATTTATTTTTTTTTTTTGAGACAGAGTCTCACTTTGTTGCCTAGGCTAGAGTGAGTGCCGTGGCGTCAGCCTAGCTCACAGCAACCTCAGACTCCTGGGCTCAAGCGATCCTTCTGTCTCAGCCTCCCAAGTAGCTGGGACTACAGGCATGCGCCACCATGCCCGGCTAATTTTTTCTATATATATTAGTTGGCCAATTAGTTTCTTTCTATTTATAGTAGAGACGGGGTCTCGCTCTTGCTCAGGCTGGTTTTGAACTCCTGACCTCGAGCAATCCGCCCGCCTCGGCCTCCCAGAGAGCTAGGATTACAGGCGTGAGCCACCGCGCCCGGCCAAACATAATTTTTAAAAAACTTGTACATGCCTTCTGAATAAGAGGATTCAGGAATTATAATATTAAATAATTAAACAATATAAATATCTACTTTTTAAAAATTCACTTTAATGTTGGCTATCCTAAATTATCATCATCTAAACCATTTGCTTCTCTAAGACAGCCATATGGCTACCTCAGACATCAATATGAATTCCATGTTTTGAAGACATCATTTGTCTGGTCCCTGTTAAATACATAACAAATGAACAGATGTGAGGTAAAGATGATGTGATTATTACATAAAGCCAGAAAGGCAAAGGAGAAGTTTTTCCAAACGGGCATATCCATAAGCCATGACGAATCCCATCTCGGATATGGTGTGAGGTCCAGGATATAAACAACATCCAGGGAAGAAAGCACCATGAGTCTTTGAGCTTGAAAAGGTGCATAGTAAATTTCAGGGTCAGAACCACGATGGGTATCACAGTAGAACAGTGAAGGAAAGGTCTTCTTGGAAGTGTCAAAGCAGCCTGAGGGGGCAAAGTAGTAGCTAGTATCATTTCCTTCTTGGTGAAATAAAATTTTATAAATGCTTTTTTAGATTTTAAAATATTTTCCAGAGTCTATTAGACATGCAAGGGAAACATTTTCTATATCACCTCAGAATACATATATCAAAATTATGTATAAAGCAAAGAAGGTAAAAGTGTGAGGATATCCTTTGCATTAAAAATAAAATCAAGGTCTCAAGAATATGGTAATTTTTTTTTTTTTTTTTTTTTTTTGAGACAGAGTCTCGCTTTGTTGTCCAGGCTAGAGTGAGTGCCGTGGCGTCAGCCTAGCTCACAGCAACCTCAAACTCCTGGGCTCGAGTGATCCTTCTGCCTCAGCCTCCCGAGTAGCTGGGACTACAGGCATGCGCCACCATGCCCGGCTAATTTTTTATATATATATCAGTTGGCCAATTAATTTCTTTCTATTTATAGTAGAGACGGGGTCAAGATATCCTGATATCTTGCTCAGGCTGGTTTTGAACTCCTGACCTTGAGCAATCCGCCCGCCTCGGCCTCCCAAGAGCTAGGATTACAGGCGTGAGCCCGGCAGAATATGGTAATTTTTAAAAAAGTTTCCCATTATTCGCTTAGAAAAGTCAAAATAGGAACATAATTTATATCTTAAATGTATGGTTTATGTAATTTGGATTTTTATAGAATTGTATGAGGCCTCTAAGAGCATTGAAAAAAATCTTACAACCACATAAAATATGTTTTAATTAATAAAGATTAAAAAAGGGGAATATTTTTGTCATAACCATTTTTTACTAGCTGTAAATACCTTCACAATTTATTTACATTTAGAAAGATTTTATTATTTTAAATAAATATTCTAAAATTTACTTAAATGAGCTTTAGTAAAATTTCTAAAACACTGCAAAAAAAAATGTAATCACTATTTGAACAAATAAAAATTTTAGGCTTGACCTCTAAATCCATGAGTAAGGTTTTTCCCCCCCACCTACTTTAAAGGATAACTTGCAGCTAGATCATCCCTAACAACAACAAAAAAGCTGAAGATAATGATGAATGTCTAAATCTAAATCTCCCCACATATCCTCCAAACACATAAAACAAGAATGACAAATAAAACTATACAAACCCCCAAACTCTCAGCAAAGCTAGACACTTCAAATTACCTGTAAGTATTATTAATAAAATCAACACCAATCAGTGGGCTCTCTCTCTCATATTCCCACCACAAGCCAGGAAAAACTGTGTTGAAAAGAGGGGAAACCTAAGATTGATCTAAAATTACCACTAGAAAGAGAAAGTTCAGTGTAAGTGTGAAAATCCTGAAGAGGGTTCTGGTAGATCAGAGCACTGACTACAGGGAAAAGAATTAAAGGCATTCAAGATTCAAGGTTTTGAAAGACATTTGATTCTGGGGGAGAAGATGGTAAAAAAGGAAGGGAAAGGCACCGTTTGGAGCTTCGGTGATGAAAGGGGAAAGAAGTAGAAGAGGGAAGGAAGGAAAAAATTTAGGTTCTTGTCCAAAAAAAAGAGGACACACAATCTTTCCATCACATTAAAGAGACTGTCTGTACCTTTGTCACAGTGTCAAATCAGACCACCCTTAAATTAGGAATCTTAAAAACATAACCCTTAAATTAGTATTCTTTACTTTCTGCCCACTGACTGAACATCAAAGAGTTTATTCTATGCTCGTCCTTTCCTCTCTTCTCCACATTTTAAGTTGTTTTACTTCTACTTCATCAGAACATGTAACATTTCTGCATTATTCCACTTTTGTCTCCTCCTTTGTTTTTAAATTCTATATCTACAATACATTAAGTTCATCATTAGTCCTTTTGGTAACACTATCTTAACCAAGACTACTTTATTTATTTATTTTTTGAGACAGAATCTCACTGTGTTGCCTGGGCTAGAGTGCCATGGCGTCAGCCTAGCTCACAGCAACCTCAAACTCCTGGGTTCAAGCGATCCTCCTGCCTCAGCCTCCTGAGTAGCTAGGACTACAGGCATGCGCCACCATACCCGGCTAATTTTTTCTATATATATTTGTTGACCAATTAATTTCTTTCTATTTTTAGCAGAGATGGGGTCTCACTCTTGCTCAGGCTGGTCTCGAACTCCTGAGCTCAAGGAATCCTCCCACCTCAGCCTCCCAGAGTGCTAGGATTACAGGCGTAAGCCACCGCGTCCGGCTACCAAGACTACTTTAGAACAAGGACTCATGTAATATCATGAAATAAAGTAACAAAACAGACTAAATCTATAAAAAGTCAGTATCGGAGGAAAGCAGAATAAAAACACCTCAGCTCTTGAATTCTTTTCCTACAAACAAATGCAAAAAACAAAACAAAAAACAAAACAAAAAATAAAACAAAGCGTATAAAAATTGTATCCTAAGACTCCAAACTAAATTAAATATCCTCTAACAACCATATGGGAATATGAAAAAACATCTTAAATCAGAATTCAAAAATGAAAAAAAAACACGTAGGTTGAAATAACAGTTCATTAAATTCAGTATAGGAAAAAAAGACAAAAACAACCTAATAAATGACTATCCTACAATGTTTCCAAAGGTGAATAGGTCAAGTGAAAGTTTAATGAGGCATACTGAAAACATGCAGAAAATCAACCAAAAGAATGAAAATGATATGAGGAAAAAAGCTAAAACAGAGAGAAAACTGGTTGAAATGGAAGACAGGCCAAAACAGAAATAACATATGTATAAAGAAGAAAAACAAAAGAATGAAATGGCATTAGAATTTAAAGCTATAGTCCAAGAGAATTCTGAAAATAAAAAAACCTGAATCTATGTATTAAAAGAGCCCATATTAAAACATTGACTCAATGATAAACTTTAAGACAGTTTAGTAAAACTATTACCCTAAAAATAAAGGCAAAATCCGTAAGGCCTTCGAGTAAAAAGATCAAATAACTTACGAAGGCCAGAGTATCAGACTGGCATCAGACTTTTTTTTTTTTAAAAAAGGAAAGTAAGTAAACAAAGGAGCAGCATTTTCAAAATGTTCAAGGCAAGAAAACACAAGCTGAGGATTTTATATCCAGCCAAGCCCTCCTTTAAATATCAAAGCTAAGAAAAATAGTATTAAACATGTAAGAGCTCACAGAAAATTTTGTACCCATGCACATTTTTTTTTTTTTTTTTTTGAGACAAAGTCTCACTGTGTTGCCTGGGCTAGAGTGCTGTTGCATCAGCCTAGCTCACAGCAACCTCAAACTTCTGGGCTCAAGCAATCCTACTGCCTCAGCCTCCCCAGTAGCTGGGACTACAGGCATGTGCAACCATGCTCGGCTATATTATATATATATATATATTTTTATTGGCCATTAATTTCCTTCTATTTATAGTAGAGACAGGGTCACGCTCTTGCTCAGGCTGGTTTCGAACTCCCGACCTTGAGTGATTCTCCCACCTAGGCCTCCCAGAGAGCTAGGATTACAGGCGTGAGCCACCATGACTGGCCCCCATGCACATTCTTGAGGAATCTATAAGAGGTTAAGTTTCATCCAACCAATAAATGACTGAGAAAACATGAGCAAAAGAAGTGATGAGGGGCATTTGATATATTCCTTTCTTTCTTTATTTTTTATTTTTTCAGCATATTGTGGGGGTACAAATGTTAAGGTTATGTATATTGCCCTTGCACCCTCCCCCCATTTGATATATTTAAATGCAAATAAAAGACTAAAAACAAAGTTAGGGAAAAGGGCGTAGATATAATACATAAATATTGTATGATCTGAAAAATGAGGAAACAAGCAATTTAAAAATCTGGAAAAAGTCCGGGTGCAGTGGCTCACGTTTGCAATCCTAGCACTCTGGGAGGTCGAGGCGGGCGGATTGCTCGAGGTCAGGAGTTCGAAACCAGCTTGAGCAAGAGCGAGACCCATCTCTACTAAATAGAAAGAAATTAATTGGCCAACTAATATATATAGAAAAACTTAGCCAGGCATGGTGGCACATGCCTATAGTCCCAGCTACTCAGGAGGCTGAGGCAGAAGGATTGCTTGAGTCCGGAATTTGAGGTTGCTGTGGCTAGGCTGATGCCACAGCACTCTAGACTGGGCGAAGAGCAAGACTCTGTCTCCCCCGCACAAAAAAGTAAAATAAAAAGCACAGTAAATGAAATGTGAAGATGTTACAGATACTGTGTTAGAGCCATATCAATTTCCAATTCTTGGCAATGACAAAAAATGCTGCAGTGAATAACCTGTGCATATATATTTTGTATGTGGAGATATAACTTTTCTTTATGCTTAAGAACCAGACAAAATAATGGTATGCAGACAGTTATCTAATAATAGCATTCTAGAACTTGGATTAAAAGCAATACACACAGGAAACTCTAGATATTTATGATAGTAGGATTATTTCAAATAGATAAGCTGTAATCTTTCTGATGTGAAGAATCAATTATACTACTTGAACAAGGCACAACTCATGCCAGCACCTAATTTTTGAATAAATGAATTTCAGGTCGTCACAATTCAGTTTCTAATGAGTTTAAGATAACCTGTATAGATATCTTCTATGTCTAAATTGATTCATTTCCTCTTACCACAGAGCACTTTCATATACCATAATAAGAAAGCTTTAGTTTGTAATCTATGTGAGTAAAAGATAAATCATAGAACTGATTGCAAAGATGAAACACTTTCAATAGAAGTATAAGATTTTCATACTAGGGTGGATCAAGGAGCCTATGGTAATGATACCTGTAAGAAAGCAATAACCTAATGCAAGATAATTAGCATTTATGCCTGGATATGTTTGAGGGATACTGATTCTTTACACTTTCATTTTGATCAATATCTATTATATTAATAGATTAACAAAGAACAAAAATTCTTGTTGCTTGGCTTATTTCTAAAATGTCAATGTAGATTTTTTATTAGAGAAAATAATTATGAAAGACGAAGATGGCATCATCATAGAATTATAGAAGTAAAATAGGTCACTGTCATAAATACTTATTCAG